ACAAAGATGAAGCAGTGTCACAAGGCGTCCAGTGAGCACATAGCCCAGTGTCTCACTGTCATCCACTAGAAGCACCAAGTGGGTTGGCCTCAAACGCCTCAACACGGTAATGTTATACACTACTCCGTGCGACTCGTGCTGCGCCCCACACCCGGCCAGCTGTGTGAAGAGCCTCTAAGAGACCGCGCTGAGCGATCTCATCTGGTGCTCGGCTCTTTCGGGTAGGGCGGATGAATCTATCAAAACATCACCTGTGAGAAAGACTGTTTAAAGGCCGTTCTGCTCCCCTACCTAATAGCGATGGCCTCCAACCTAATAAGGACTCGAGAAACACACAAAATCACCTGATCTTTGGAATTAAGCTGGTTTGATTTCCATCGGGTTAAGCGTTGGATCTACAATTCGCCTCTCCCTGACGAGCTCATCGCCATGTGCTATTTGTACTTGACGCGGGGAACTATCCCAACATAGTTCATGAGATGTAAGTTCTGCGTACAAAGCAACCTTTATCATTTACCCCAAAGTCAGAAGAAAGCGCTGAAATTTGTTCCCAAAGAAATAAAACGTGTGACAGGTTTCCCTTTTTTCCGGAACTTGGACTGTCCTCCACTCATCCTCTACGATCCTCGGTTCTGTCCTTGGTTACTCTTCTCTCCGTGGTGATTCTGTCCTTCCCTCATTGGCGACTACTCTACTCTATACTCCTGTTCCAGGGGAAACCGCACTTGCCAAACAGGGCACAACTCCAGCTCCGCTGCTGAATTGGCCAGGCCTTTGAGGCGGTCTGTCGTCACAGACCGAAAAGAAAGCCCCAGACCAGACCGACTTCAAGTGACAGTGATCGAACATTCTTTCGAATGAAGTCTGTGACTTCCAGTGGGCAAATGTGCTTTCGTCTATGCCTTTAAAGCAAGGAGTCTTATTGAAACACCTGTACGAACGTCAGGTCAACAATCTGTCTATCACTTCTCTTCATCTGCGCTTGTGGAAGGCCTGAGCCTCCAGCGCTCCTTTTGGTGGCCTTCCACACCTCGTGCTCTCCACGTCCGACAATGTGGAACCCCTGTACCCACGGAGATCCCAATGGATACCTCTGAGCTCTAAGATCAAGAATAGGTCGCCGGTGCCAGTGTCTAGTGAGAAATACTGGTCCGTGCTGCATTTAGAGAATGATCTAATATATGTTACTGTATGATACACTTCATGGTTATGATTGCTTGTGTTGTCCTTATGATTTGATTCAAGAGTTCGTTTCAGTTTATGAAATACCTTATGTTTTTTTCTACTGATTTGCTTCATTGTTCATTCTATGATTCCTGCTGTTTAATCAGTCAGGGCTTCGATTCAATAGGGATATATATATATATAGAGAGAGAGGTGGCACAGCAAGCTTCTGCACAATCATTCAACAACCTGTAGGTGCTCTGTACATGTGTATGTGTATAATATATATACATCCAGCGATACAATTGTCGTTTGGATTACTGATAACTGCTTACCGTCCCAGGTCCCACCTGGCCATGCTCTTCAACACCCGGAGCTCCGTCATCACCTCTTCAGCACCGGGAGCTCCGTCATATACAGGAAGGGACGATCAAAAAACTCTCAGCAATGATTCATTCATTTCATTCAGCCTGAACCAATTCCTTGGACTCTGTTTTCAACGATGTGAAAGGCATCACCAAACTCCACTGTTCTGCCACTTCGATCGTCTTCCTCATGGAGAACTCGAATAGCTTCCTCAAAGAGATTGACTGGTCGGCCGTTGAGGCAAAGGACAACTCAAATCAAGCCTCAAAAGCAAACACCAAGAGGTTGACCTCATCCATTCGAGCGTGTACTTGCTCTCTTTCAGAGCCCCCAACCACCTGTTCTCCGCCCAAAATTCTTTGGGCAGTCTCCCTGCTTCCTGAAGCCAGGTGCTAGACCATGAGCTCTTTTTCAAGCGAGTTGCATGTCCCGTGGCGCGCAGCCACCTGGCCCGTCCGGCATGGCCATGTGAGACGCTACGTCGCGAGGCTTCGATCCCGTGATCAATCGATGTGAGGAGTCCCAACGGGAAAACTGTACCGACACGAGAAAGCATGGATGTTTGTCTGATTCTTCCAGCATGTTCACATACGGGAATTCTACGAGTATGTTGGTTTGTCCAAGCGGTGAAGAGGCCTTCTTCACCTTTGAAGCCGCAGCTGGCGCTGGCGATGAGCCGGCTGGAGCTTCCTGCTCTCGTGCTCTTCTCGAAAATGGAAAAAGCTGAGGGAGTATGAATTGGCGTCAAAAGAGGGAGACCCGCGGAAAAGTCACAGTAGAAGGCATTTGAGTATAACTGTATAACTGTACAAGACAAAGGTTTGAGTTTGGGGGACTGCTTTTGGAGACCAACATCTTCCAAAGAAAGCTTCATTGCAACACCTTTCAATGTGCCAGTCTGTTTCGCTGCGTCTTTTTCGTCCCAAAAGCGAGCCTTGGTGGAGCCTTGGGGCATGCAACTGGTATGCGCATGGGCATTCAAAGATAAAGAAAGCTGAAGAGCACAACTCTCAAACCATATGTTATGCTTCCACATCCTGCCTTTTCAATCTGAAGACAACTCCAAGCCACCGACCCGAGTCGAGAAGGAATCCTCTAGCGAGGCCTTGAGGTTTTGACACGCCTCACAGTTCGCACAAAGAGGGCACGAAGCACATTCAAACACATTCTATATATATATATATGTGTAGGGCTTCATCAAAAACGATCACCCCTTCCCTATCATCAATGAATCCCCCCACAGGAACCCTGCATGACACTCCATCAACGAATTTCTATCATTCTCGATCAAAACCAAGGTTTGTGCAGGGTCCGAATCGGAGATGCCGGCTGTTTCGGAGATGAGATGAAGGACTGGACATCTATGTCCGGTCCTTTCTCGCCGCGGCCGGCAAGGGGATCCTCGGCCGATCGAGTCGGCGCAGGAAGTGGAGGTTGGGATGACTGCATCGCTCGGGAACAACGTTTTAGGCAATCGCAAAGAGAAAGAGAAGGTATGGGAGGTTGGGATCCCAGCTGAAGCTCTTGGTCAAGAGTCGAGCAAACCATAGGAAGTTTCAATTGGTGGAACCTATTTTGTGCTAAGTTCAAGGCTTTGGCCACTTTGGGCTTCTCTTGGCCCTCCCATGGCAACCTCACGTGGCAACCGCACCGAAAACATCAATCCCCTGCTTCCCAGCCTCAAAGCCGAGTTCTCTGGGTGCAGGAAGTCAAAATGGAAGTGATATGGCCTCAGCAAGAAACATTTCCAAAGACCTCAGAAACATCTCAGCAACAAAAGTTGCAAATTCTTTCACCACCCAAAGCCGTCCAAGTTCCTTACTTCACAAGCTCCTTAAGCTCTTCCATCGCGAAATTCCAGGAAGGGCTATCAAATCTCGCTTGTCAATGGTCAGCTACGCACATGTTGGAGACAATGAATGGGTCGAATGGGTCTCTGCGAGACCGTCCGGTGGTGTTGGCCGCAAAATAGCTGGACTTGACAGCGGGAGCCCTGTGGTGTGGAGCATGGGGCCTTTCTGTTCTCTTCGGTTGGTGCGCTATTTGCTGACATCTCGCTAGTCCTTGGAGGTGATATCATGCTTTGAGCAAGCATTCCTTGAGCAAGCATGCATTCACAACATGTGAAGCCAGCTCCCGCCATGCCTACTCATTTGCTGCAACAAGCCTCTTTTTGCCGGCTGCGTGCTCTGCAAAGAGAGCTTCCCAAGAGCTCAGCCAAACTTTTTGGTCATCACCTGAGAACCAATGTATTTATCACATCACTAAGAATTCACCTGAGACCAGGGTATCCCTAGTAGAGTTATAAGCAGTCAAGAGTCCTTTCAATATCTTTCAGTCAACAGACAGCCATCAACAGCCTGCTTTGAATTCGCTTCGCTGTGCGAAAGCATCGCTTAGGACCCAACTCTCACCTCTTCCCCAGGAGTGAACTCCATGAACACCTGGAGCAAGATCAGCAAATCAGAGAGGTTGGGTGCAGCACCAATAGCAGGGACTTGCGCTGTGGATGGTAGACATGGCACATCAACATCATCAACCATCTCCACACATTGCCAGGTACCCTCCGGCCTGGCGCGCATGCTTCCCCAACCAAGCATCCACCTGGTGCCAGGGCATTGTTTGTCTTCACTTTGTAATCGCTCAAAAGCCGTTACTGGCGAATCATTGGTCAATTGGTCAAAACTGTGGGTGTGTCATTTTCTCTCTCTATTTGCTCCTGTTGGTTCCAACCTCACTGACCATATCCATGTCCAAACATCATTAAACATCCACAAATCCATAAACATCCCACCCGCTCTCTCTCTCTCTCTCTCTCTCGCTCTCGCTCTCTCTCTCTCTCTCTCTCTTCGGCCTTTTCCCCAGCTAAGGATGGCTTCATGAGACTGCTTAGCCTCTCAGGCCTCGAGCGATGCGAGCGACCAGTGTGACTGGAGCGACGATAAGAAAGAAGAAGGCGACCATAGTTTAGCGACTATAGCAACATACTAACGTACTTGGGAATCGTCCCTCCCTGAAGGGGGGACAGTATGGTTCAACTTGGAATTTATGTCTACACCGTGGTCGACAGTAGTCTAGTCTGTTCAAAGGTTGGCCTGTTTGGGTGCAGTCATGCCCGAGGCAAGAAACTTTGGTGTTCGCTACATGTCGCTACATGTCCCTTTCCTTCATCCAGCATTGAAGACCCATTGGTTTGGGCTCTCCCTATTTGGTGCATTTTGGTGCAACGCATTCCGTTCTGAGGCTTGGCCACACAACACCATACCCCAAATGTTCCGCAGCGGGCTTTTTTGCGCCAAAACTTCCGTTCGGGCCGAGGATTCCGGGGATTCTGTGAGCGTCGAGCGATTGAAAGTAACCTTCTGCACATGTGCGTCGAGGTGAACATGTGCGTAGCATGAAAACGGACCATCCAAGTAGCTAGTGACAAGTGCCACGCTAGCAGTAACAGGTGCCTTACTACTAGTAACAATAAAGCTAGTAGAAACAAGAAGCTAGTAGTAACAAGTGCCACGCTAGTGTGGTGTGTGGCGTTCCCTCGGGCCCCGTGCCGCCAATGTGATTGCACTTCAAAGAGTCTCTTCAAGCGCTCATTGGGGTCCTGGTCGCGGTTTCGGAGCAAACCAAACAGAAGGTTTCCTCTCCAGCCAGGAACCCAATCCCTCAACCTGTTTGAAGTGAGTGACAATGAATCTCAACTTCAGGAACAACCCCTTTCTTGTGTGTGGGAGGGGACTTCCAAATGCAATCGATCGATTCCCATCATAAAAAGAACAAGTGTCGGTCTGTGGCATGCAATCAATCGGCTGTTCCCAACCCTTCTCATGCGATTTCTGATGATTTCTGTCACAGAAAAGACGATATCACCCTTTGAAACAACAACACAACTCTGGGCCGGCCAACACGTGGCAACATCGTGGCATCCAAGGCGTGGATCGTCCCCTGATGCCGGAGGAGCACTGTGGTCATCCCAGTCTAATTGGATCAACGTGGTCTCTCAACCGGTCCGGTGACACAACTGATTTTCGGTGCTCAGCGGCGGCAATTGAGCATTTAGAAAGACAGTCTCCAGAATCAAGTGCGGAAATGTTCGTGAAACCCGTCGAGCTCTGCAGTAGGTGTATCTATACAGTTCTACATATAGGAATTTATATGATTTTATATGAATTTATAATGGAATGTCCACGCATCAGTGAGGCCACTCAATACCACTCCTGGGGTGGCCGACCGCGCCTCAAGCTCATCCACACGTGTTCGAGTTGCCAGCAACTGGAAGGAATGCGAGTAGGGGATCAACTCCACGGCTGAGGGGGGATCAACTCCACTCAAAGTCTTTTTCTCCGCAAAACGACTGGCAGAGTTAATGGATCTTGGAAGTTCGAGGGAGTGGTCGAGGTTGTTCTACCGTCCCTCCCGGCACCCTTCGACTAAGTCCACGCCTCAGGGCCTCAGAATAAGATCCCCCGAAGATACTACACACACTAAGTGGTTTGGCACATTTGGGCACACAACACAGGCCGCCTGATTTGTTTTGACGCGTCAACTTTCTCCGAAAAAATCGCCTCCAGAAGCTTCTCCTTGCTAATCTCCGAGTTGGTTAAGTCCTCCACACGGCCACAAGCCAATCTCTCCATCGCAAGCGCTGGAGCTGATCCAATTCACTGCTGTACTCAGCAAGTTCAGAAGGCTTCTAAACCAAATGCTTAAAGAAATAACAAGGTTGTTGAACATCCGTGGGTAGCACTTGTCATTTCCTAGAGCTTCACTTGGGAGGTAACAGACCTGGGCCAAAGAAACGACACGCGGCCTCCAAGCGCTGACCCCCCCCTGACCGGGTACCAACGTCGCACCGGCGTGACCGGCGTGCCCGGCGTGCCTTGAAGACTTGGACAAACTCGTCCACATGTAAGGCGCCCCCTGACCATGCCAACCATGTGAAAAAAAGAGAAAGATTCAGGGGATCAGAAGAGTTGAAAACAGTGGAGATCAGAAGAGTTTGATCGAGCTTCTAGAGTCTACACTTTTTGTATCTTGTATTCTACACTTAGCTAGTAAGAAAACTAATCCAGTGGTGCATACATTACTAGGCGAACATCTTGTTGGCAGGCCCAATCTCCCTCGCTTTTACATCCACAGCCCTATAAAAAAGAGAGATTCTTTGTTACAATGGATTCATGGATGGTATTCCAATATTGTTACAGTATGATCCAACAAATCTTCAAGTCACACTCCCTGTTTAGGCCTCCTTGTGGTGCCAACCGCGGCCGTTTTGCCCTCGGAGCAAACACATGAGTCACGGGGCCACAACGGTGGCTGAGGGCGCCACAACGGTCGTGCGACGGGAGCCACTTGGAACCTCTCTCGCACCTGACATCGAGAATGCTATGGTCATGTCATCTGGGAGAGCATCCAGCGGATAGAGCAGCGTGAAGGAATCGATTGTAGATACTTTTCACAAAGGACACCAGGAAGTTGTCGCATGCTCCAGCTTCGAAGCAGTTTCTTAAAAGCCACTTGCTGCACATAAGTCGTCACCCAACAGTTTCTTGATGTTTCTTGGACTCTTTTTCTGCTCCTGTCAAAGCCACCTGCTTTGGATCGTCCTGCAGAAGCTGCACGGCACGCGAGAGGTTGACCTGCCAGTACAAGCAAACAACATCGTCCACAGGTTTGTTGGTACAGGAATAGAGTCAGCAGAAGGTCCTCAGAACTAATCATTTGAGACTGGAAACAATCATGTCATTGAGGACTTGTAAAAGGACAAGAACAAGAACAGTTTACTGTGGTGCGGCTGCATGAAAGTAGTGGCTTTACTCTGGTATGGCAACACCCCCTCTTCAATCTTAAGAATCATAGCTCATCTGAGATGCACTTGGGATCTCAGTGTGTCATTCATCCGACACCAGTCAAATCATGGCACAGGAAACCTTTCTAGACCCAGAAATGAACACCAAAAAACTCACAATGAACGTCCCTTCCCATATCATATCAACCTACTGTGGGCGCATGACTCGCAACAAACTGAACATATGGTCGCTCTTCCGAGCTCGGAAGGCCTTCTCTTCGTCCAAGGAAAACACGGCATCATTAGGCCTTTGTCTTTCGCGAAGGACTGAGTGGATGAAATCAACGTCACTGTGCTGTAGCATCAAGGCTGTTTGATTGATGGCCAATTGATGGGTCAAGAATGGTCAAGAGTCAGGAGATGATGTCACTATCTATATATTAATGTCGAGACGAGGACTTACCCCGCAGTTGAATGCCTTTCTGAAGCAAAGAACTGCACCAACTTCACACCTTCGCATTACGAGGCTGGTTCGCGGTGAGGCTTTGCCAAGGCCGATTCGCTCAATTGATTTGGTCTGAGGTCCATGCTTGGGATCTTCAGCCGATGTCGACTCCTCAACTTGTTCGACTCCTCACGTTGCAACATTGTTTTCGCCGCAGACGACTGCGAGGGCAAATGATGACTCCTTGGCTCGCAAAAGCCGCCCATGACCTTACTGACTTACTGACCTCGCCCAGTGCGAAGGCTTTAGAGAGTCTTGGCCAAAGACCTAGTTCCGCAAAATCTCTAAGACCTTGATGGTCAAGAGCCTTGGCCTCTCACTGCAATAGTAGCGAAGCGCAATTCAGTGCAACAGGTCACACCCAAACCCTGTCAGCTTCTGTCACAAATCTGCGGCCGTTTCTTCCAAAGGTTGTCAGCTTTCATAACTTTCAGACCACACACTGCAGGCTGTCTCCTCTCAAGACCTTCTGGAGTACCGGCAGGCTAGGCACTGAGGCCTGGCAGAGTTTGGTTCACAGTCAAACAGTCAAGCATAAAATCCATGAACTATATACAAGTACCATAGACAACCTGTGCTTGAGGGGTGGGTATGGAGCGTTGATTGGTTGAAGTTTACAAACGTCTCTTTTCCCGGCTCTCTTTTCTCAACCAAAGGGCTGAGTCACAGAATCGCTCCAAATGGACCAATCCCAACACGTTGAGTGTCACAGCCTCGCCATCTGACAGCGTCTTCTGCACCTTCGGGAGGCGGACAACAAAGACGAACGAAGAATCGACGAATCGACCGGGGGCCATGAAGAAGAAAGCAAAGGTGCCTCCTCAAGCAAGGCATTCCCATCGACAGCCTCCACAAGCGTCCAGAACAGAAAGCGCTAAAGGCACCCATCCGCTGAAGTGATGTTCAAATTGGAAGCTTTTAAAACCTATATTATGCTTCCTTTCGAAAGAGGAAGCCTCGCAAACCAGGATGGTGCGAAGTCTACTTCGCTCAACTGGTTCACCCATTCGGTTCAACATCAGACCTGACTTATTTTTATTGTTGATTCACTGGCAACATCGGCAACCTGCAGCTGCCAACCCCGAGCAGTGATGATGGTCAAGGCAGTGTCCAAGACCTCTCAAGGGCTCACCACTGGTGTTACCATTCAGCAGCACTCACGAGCCAATTCAGCCCAAACAGATTCAGCTCACATTCATTTGCTGTATGCTGACACACCGACGATGCAGGCACTGATGATTCTCCCATCGCTGTGAGATGATCTTCACCAAATTCTTGCCTCTCGCTGCAATCTTTCTGGCAACAGCCGCCAATAGCCATCAACTTCCACAAACCTCAAACATCTCTCAAATGCGTCCATTCGAGCAAGTCCACGCCGGCCAAGGCTTCAAAAACACCCCTTAAAAATACCCCCTTTTCCGAACAATGAGCCTCCACAAATGCACACGAAATCGTATGAATACCTCTCTACGCCTCTCATGTCCTCGCTCATCCCATTTCCCGCGAGAGCAGGCACCCGGGCGGCCCCTTGTGGAGCAGCAACTGGAGCTCTTTGGGCGAACTGGCCACATGGCGCCTCGGTTGTGGTCTCTGGTGGAGCGGTCAGCTACGTTCCCCGTCTAGTGGGGTTCTTGGACTCCTTGACACTCCAAGGATCCCAATGAAAAGAGGGCCACTGGCTTATAAAATCGTATAGAGGTAAACTACCAGTCAGTGAAAACTGACCGGTTGGAAGTTGGGTGTTCATGTTTCTACAATCTGGAAGCAACTATTCTTATACAGTATTTGATCCAAAGGGAGGGGGTCTCGCTTTGAAGCATCAGGATCGGGGGTCTTGAAAGCACTCAAAGAGCCAAATAGCTAAGATGGGTCCGTGGCCCAAACGACCTAAGACCTGAGACACTCCCGGAGTCCCAGCTGAAGGGTTGCCAAGTCGTAGAACTGCGCATTGCTTTTGACCACCTGCAGGGTCGCTGGCTGGCACGAAGAGCCGGACGCCGGACTGCCTGGCCTGGCCAAGAGCAGTTGGTCTGAGTAGTTCTCGCACCTGGCTTTTGAAGCAAGCCGTGCCAAACACTCATGATGGCATGCTCCCACAAAAAAAAGGAAGGAAAGGCCGGGAAAGGCGGAAGAAAGGGAAGAAGTGAAGACATCTGGTTTCCGGCATGATCTCTTCGACTCTGAGCACTACACCCAAAGAAACCATACTTACGTGTCATGGTTCACACCCTCTGTCTAATCTTCCATGATCCATATTCCACTTCCATGATCTTCCATGTTTGTTTCTGTGTCGCGTAGCATTTTGCCTTGCTGATGTCTGCAGTCTCTGGCTTTACAAACAACTGCCCCCTGCACTGAGCGAAGATGGTACACCTGCGCATCTGGGATTCACTGCTTCTATGTCTGAAATATGCATCGGCTCCATCTTTGTCGTTTCGGCTTGGGCCTGCCAAGCTTTTCGCTGTGGTTTTCACCTGGAAGCAGCTGGGAAACCCAGCCGTGTGATTTAGGGAAGAATCTCCGCCCATCTCCACCCACCATTGATTCGCCCCAGCTTTGTCCGATTCAAACCCACTCCTTTTCCATCTGTCCGTGGTCACGTCGACACGAGTGGAGTGTGTTTTTCTGCACAGAATGTGGAGCCACGGCGCAAGATTTCAGCAGCCGTGTGGGCTTCAAACAATTCAATTTAGAGATGGAAGTTCGATGATGGAGAGGCTGCCATCAGCTTTGAGCCTCAGGTGATCGAAGGCCACCCCCGGTGTCCCGGTCTCCGTCGGTCGACTCTCTTCGCCGTCCAAGGAGCTCCGGAATCTTGAGCTCGCATCGCATCGTCTTTTGGAAAGCGATGCCGCTCGACACATACGCAGCCTGGCGCCAAAGCAAAAAAAGGAAACACTTGTTCTCACAAGGCCTGGTAGAAACCAAAAATCACACCAAGAATACCTACCTTGATCACCTTATTCCTCAATCCTGGATTGGGGATAATAGGGGGATGTTTCAAGCCACTGCAGTTGTTCCCGCCGCCTCATTGATGAACATGGGGTAGCACTCTGGCCTCAATGGAGCACGTCAGTCCCATGTCTTATTCCATGTGAACGGCGGCAACATCATGGTGAAAGGCCAAGCCAGTTCCGAACGCCGACGATCGCCGAACCGATGGCGCTCCAAACGCCGAGATCCGAGCTCATCCCAGTGGATGGTATCACCCTTATCAACGTCCTGCAAATCGAGCTGAAGATCTATCAAAATGATCACGATCAAAATTGATTCAAGTTGTGTCACTATCACCACTATCAAGATGAAAGTTATCAAGTTGTGTCATGTTTTTATATGTTCTTCCCTCTTGCTGTTTGATCGGTATTGATCTGCTCCAGCGAAGCTGCTCTTTGGCAGCACAGCCGTGCCTGAAAGACCGGATCCCCAGGTCGTAGCGCTTCAAAGTCCCGACCTGCGTAGCATTCCGCACATTCGGCACACGTGAAGAACGTGCGAAGACGCACGCGTGGAAGGGCTGTTCGACCTTGAAGCTCAGCGGCAATCAAAGCGGCCAGGCTTCCGTCAGACCTGCACAGAGTCCCTTCTGGAGATGGCATCGAAAGATGAATCGGAATGGCATCGAGAAGAAGGGACATGTCTGGAGTACGACCCATGGGAGCCCGTATGTTTGACCTGTCCAAGATTGATGTAGTAGATGTACGAGTATCTGAGGCAGCAGGTTCTGCCTCATGGGATAGTGAACCACACCAGTGTGGATGTAGACCTCATCCAAGGCGACGTTCACTGCACGAACACACCCAGCCACGCAGTGCTAGAAGATCTAGAAGTGGTTTTCACAGAACGACTAGAGCCCACAATGAATGGACAGGGTACTCAAGGGGTCATGTAAAGAGATTGATAAATGCTCAGTAGAGCAGCTGAAGAATAGAGGCCAGATTGAAAAATCCTGTGCATTTTGACTTCTATACATACAATTGGTAAAAAAAAATGACCCACCACCAAAGCGCTCAATTTGTCTGTGACACCTCGAGCGTCTTCTCTGATCTTTCTTCATCGGACAGCGTTTGAGAGTTCAATCGTTCCAGAAAGTCTAGCGTCTGCAAGACCAACCTGAGCAACAGGCACCACAGGAAGCCATCACACATTGACATTCACAAATACAGCAGGTCTTTAATGGCTGTTAAAGGTTCTTTAAAAAGATCAAATAGTAGCATACGAGACAAAACCTATACTGCCTATACATGCCTATACCATAGGTCCAGGTGATCTGGTATGTTGAGAGTTTTCATTGGCAGGCTTTGGCTCAAAGCTAGAAACGAATAGAGCCTTGGCAAATGCCCCTCCTTCATGAACTCATGTCTGACGCTGCGCTACACGTGAAGCGCCACAAAAACGGCCGAGATGCTTGCGTTGGTTCCAAAACACCTGCGAGGGACACCGTTCAAAAACCATCAAAAACCCTGAGACGATATGAGACCTGAAATTAACGGTTCTCATTTGCGTTTCCTTCAGAGGCTTCCCATATTAATATGTTAGGACACACCCATTCCCTGGCCTCTGCTTGGAGTGTACCATGTGCTTGAGGCCCCAGCTCGAAGGTCAAGTCATTCTTGGCCACCTCAGAGGTCAGCATAGGTCAGCTATATTGGCTTCGGATACAGGACCAAAGGCCAAAAGGATCCAAAAGGCAGAGTTGAAACACTGAAGAGTGGTTTGGGATGTTTGTGGCTTCCACGACATAACCATTGTGGAACAGTTCAACAGACCCAGGCACCAGTGGCAAGAAGGGCTCTTCAGAGCAGTCCCCAATGCAGTCGAAGACGATGCGAACTCTGGGACAAGTGCCTCAGCTCTTTGGATATAGACAACGATGAAATCAGATATGTGGGGAGGTATGATCTCATTGCACATCAGATATCGGCCACCGTACTGTCATGTCACAAGTACATCATCGATTTGATCAGGCAAACAATCTCATCGCAGGCACTACATTGCCTGATCTTTTGGATTGCAACCTATCTGTATCTACTAGCCAACATGGCTGTACAGCTGTCACCGATGATGCCGAGCTTCGGGAAAGGAAGTGACAAAGCTGCAATTTCCAGTGTAAGTTCGGCGAAGAGGTGTTGGTAATAATGATCCCACATCCAAAGTTGCTGGTTGTGTTGTGTAAATCGATACAGAGATCAGCAGCTTCAGCCGAGAACCGTGGACCGATGCGCTGGTTGAGTTCTTGAGCACGCCGGGATTCATAGCGTTCATCTCCTCTCAAAGGGATGTGGATGTGGCATACCTTTGGGACGCTACCTCACAAAACTGGCCCATTCACTGACGGGGTCCTCACAAAGACCTCTGCAAAAAAGACCAACCTAGAGGTTTGATGCTTGTCCCCAGGTCCATCCCCGATCGCAAAAAATCACCTCCATGCATACCTCAAAGAATTCAACACCAGCATGCCACAGAACCGCCCCTTCCACAGAAACAAAACGGCGGCGACACAGGAATTTGGGCAGATCAACCCCCCATCCTCCTTGGAGATCTTGGAGCTTGGACTTCGAAAAGCACCGATTCAAATCGCAGTCTTTGAAGCGGCGGCCCAGCTGGATCGCCTCCTCGTTCGCCAAGAGGCAATCAATGTCCAAGGAGGGGAAATCATGCCAGGAGGGCTGACGAAGGAGTGAGCGAACCAAATAGATGCCCGACAGTTCCTTGGAAGAGAAGCACCTGTTTGACTGATTGATCTCGTCTTTCAGGAAAACAAGATGGGACAGTAGATGGTAGCAACACTCTGCATGACACTTGCACAATCAATGACTATAAGTACCTACAGTAATAGATTTTACTAAATAGATCCTAGTAGGCTAGAAGTGAGACTGATCATGCTGCTTCTGCCTAGTTCTGGGAAGGTTCGTTTCCATGCGTGCCTCCAACTAACGACACACGCTTGATGGAGCGCATGAGGACTCTGGGTCGCACAACGCAGAAGTAGGCGGAAGGAATTCCCAGTGCCAAAGCGGTCTCCCGAAAAGCAAAGCTGGCAGAGCTCGAGCCACCAGCGAAGCCAAAGCCCCCTGGAGGGCTGCGACTTCTGCAGGGTGACCGAGAACTGCCTAAACGCCAGACATTGAGGCCAAACTCCAGGCTCATCAGTCAAGCTTCAACGGTTCTCTCATCTGTCCAGACATTCTTTATTGATCTTCTTTTGGGATACCTCTTTCTTGATATGCAATGTACGTGATTCCTATGCACATATGTATCACATATTGCAGACCGCATCCTTCTGTGTAGATGCTTGTATCTGAAAGAGTACGTTGACATGTGGTTACTTTGAACAGCATCTACTTCTTTCGCGGGTGCTCATGAGTTGCAGAAGCTGCGGAGGAATGAGTGAAAAGCCACCCTCAGCAAAGAGGAAATGTTGACGGCCGACACACCGGGCACCTGCATCCTCTTTGTTCTCTGAAGGCTTCACCTGGATGCAGCCCACGGCTGTACAACCCAGAAACATACCAAGACATGTTTCCCACAGAGTGTTCCCCAAGAATGTCCCACAAAGACTGTCTTACAAGAGTGTCCTACCAAGAGTGTCCCCAGCATGTCTCAGCCTACGAAACTTTTAAAAAAAAAAACGAGTTCAGCAATCATGAGGTTGGAGGCTATTGCTAGGTTGGAGGCCATCGCTAGGGTTGGAGGTCATAGCTATTAGGTTGGAGGCCATTGCGATTAGGTTGGAGGCCATTGCAATAAAGTTCGAGGCCATTGCTATTAGGTTGGAGGCCATTGCGCTCCAACCTGGCCCAGGAGGAGCGTGTTGGAGTTCTCCAGAAACTCCACACGGAACCTGAGGGAAAAATGGACTGGAATCGGTCCAGAACTCAAGGCCCTTGAGATTCAGAAAATGCTGAGGCAGTTGACTGTCACGCTTAAAATCATGGAGGCCTTTCAAGCACATCATGATCATCAAGAATGGATGGAGTCTTGTAGAAAAGCTACATTGAAACAACGGCTTGTGGATGCTTTTCAAGATTCCTCCACCTTTCCCCCAAACCCTTCTCTCAGGTCCCCTCCCTCTTTCAGCTTGGGCTCACACGTGGCATCAGCCGTGCACAAGGCCGCGAAGCCATCACCAGGTGCCTCGAGTGGCACACACAGCTTGAGGATCGGTAACAATGTCGAGAAGAACCAGTGTTTACTAGTTTACTAGTAGCGTCCTTGCTCCTAGTAGCGATGCCAGGAGCACCTAGTAGCTTCTTGTTCCTAGTAGTAAGGCCAGGAGCCCCTAGTAGCGTCCTTGTGTGTGTGTGCCTCACGCGATCGGACATGCCCGTCAAAGTCCAACGAAGGGGACCACCTTTTCATGTTCGTTGCGAGCTGGTCCACCCCATGTGGGCCACGGCATCGGCGGATAGCTATGTTAGCTTAGGAGGTGGCTTCGAGCCTCCGTTGGTATTTGATTTGATATCGAGATATTCACACGGGCCCCAATCGCACTAGGCAAGCAAACCCTTTGGTCAGGGATATACTCCAACGAAAGGGGGCAGTGTGCTCAAAATGGAGATTGTGAGTAGCACCGGATTTCTGTGCCCTCAGCAGCGGTTCCTACAAAGACCGGCCTTTCAAAAGCATCGAAAATACAGTAACAATCATGTGGAGTTTGCCATCGAAAACGAGTAAGTCTGAAGTCCGATCTGATCAAAAGTCTGGACCACCTGCTCTGGCCCTTCATGGCCAATCAAATTCCGTGCATTGGTGCAAATCCTCTGGCTCAGCATCGGCTCAGTCGTGCATAGCGTCGCTTGATGTAGTTCGGGCACTCCATCTTCGACCACACGAAGTAGTAGTTGTCATATTTGGCTGGCCTTGCCAGTAGGTCATGGCAAAAAAATGCAATGATTTGCAAAACTGAAATCCCACATTCATGATCATTCATGCACAAGTACAAAACATGGGATTCTTGAAAGGCGGCATGCTCTTCATGTCTCTTCATCGTGCGCAAAACACTCGGTTTGTCTTCAGGCCGCGCCGGGCAAACCAGTTCCCCCTCGTGTCTTAGATGGTGATGCTCGTGCTTTGGCCGAGCATCGGGTCGGCGAAGTCAAAGTGGTGCTTCACACCGAACTTGTTCCTTAAGACGCTGAAGAGTCATCATGCGTCCGGCGGAATCGAGGCAGGTGTGTATATCGTTCTGTGATGTTTGGTGGGTCCGTGTGGATCTTGTGATATCTGTGGATCTTCCTTTTGAACACACACACTAGTACATAGAACTACATGATCTGAACTACTGGAATCCCAAAAGCATGTGCCAAGCTTCCCCTGTCCCTGATGCCGAGGGCACCAGCCTTCGTTGCCCGTGTGGGGGCATGTGTCTGCTACCACAATCTTCAGCTCCTGGCGAAGGTGAAGGCACCAAGGCTTGGCGTCGCTGACAGGAGAGATCGCCCTGACAGAGATCGCACCCTCTCGAAACATCTCACCCCAACTTCTCCTTGGAGAAGATCTCATCTCCAGGTTGTGCCCAAAGTGGGTAGGAGAAGGGATGAGCTTTCAGGAATTTGCCCCTCGCGCAGGACAGGCATCCCATGCCTCAGCCAAAGATGTGGCCAAGAACCGAGGGACAAGCCAGATCAAGCCAGTGCTGTCAAACACTTCATCATTCTAACTTCTTCTTTCCGCTTGATAACACGACCTCAACGCCTATGAGGATTTGACTGTGAAACAAATACAGTGGCCTGTGGTGCCGCGGCTCGTATGAGGAGAAGAAGTGCAATAATGTCCATCACCTTAGATCCACTAAGAGTTCCAATGGGACCTACCAGTATGTGAATGTGAAAACTGAGGTTGGCAAATGCTGAGCCTTGTTCACAAGCTTCAATGGGAGCTTCCAATTGTTGAACATCTTTGAGCAGACCAAGCTTGGAAGCCTTTTGACTGACCCGAAAAGGAACATCTTAGGTTTGTCCGACACAAGTGTGACCACAAGGAGTCTGCTGTTGAAATGTTCCTGAAGAACTGGAGCAAGTCGGGGAGCCCAACGAAATCTGTTGTCCTTGTTACCGATGCAGAATGGGAGGTGTGACGTTCATCAGACATGAGATCTAGCTATTTATATATGTCTGACAGTCTGACACCACATGCTGTTCATGGCGCCGATTCCATCGGCTTGCATCGACTCGGCAGATGCCACTGCATAAAAGCCTCGCGTTGCGTAACGAACACGCGAGGAATCGCCAGGAGTACCCCAAACTATGATGCAGCCTTTCTGCAAAGTTAGTTTAGAAGATGTCATGAAAGATCATGAAAGTAATGAGGCTTACAACATGTGGCTCAAGACTCCAATCCGCATCTGCCTTCAGTCTTCACTCCCAAATGCAGATGTTGGATGGTCGCCATGACTTGTCCCTTAAGAAAAGGTTGGTATCTTCACTTTATATCGTTCATATCGTTCATATCAATATCTCTCAATGGTTTTGTAGTCAAGAAATGTTGCGTGGTCCCTCAATGGTCTTGATATTAAAAGAAAACATACAAAAACATTGTATCAATGTGTGTATATAAAATTACCGTATATTGTTCTTAGTTTTCCTGCAGGCTCTGCAGATTTCAGTTCACACATGCATGTCACGCCCGCCCAATTGACTCATCCGATCTGGGAGATGGACCATCCCCAAATGATCCACACCCTCTTGGCACCCACGCCAGTCCCCTTGACCAGCTCCGCAGTGTTCACAGAGCCACAGGAGGCGCAGCACGTATTGCCGTAGCGCGTGCTGGTGGCCAAATGGTCATAGCCCATACGCCTGGCGAACTGGTCAAAGCCGTCAAACCCGGTCTGGTTTGGATGGTCTGACTGCTGCGACTTGTAAGGAAATGCAATGGATCCAAAGGAATCTCCATCGGGGTCGAAGCTTCCATCACTCCCTACTAAGCACCAGTGGTTTGCAAGATTTGGGGAGGATGTTTGCTTCCAACTTCCCATGGGTCCTGGTGGGTCTGGGTGCCTCCAGCATGGGAAGCTTCTGGCTTCAGGGTGTCTCCAGCATGGGTCGGTGAATCGACCAAGAAGGTGACACCCGGCACATCCCACAAATCTCTCCAAGAGCACAGTGTTCTTTAAGCATCTGCTCAGGCAATCGGCGAGTCGATCGGTCTTGCCATGTTCTTGCCTCATATTCTTTCGGAGACTCCATTCCATCCATCCGCCCAACCATCCACGCCTCTGGATGCTGTGCACCTCTCTGAGGCTGGGGTTATGATAGTAGCCACTGCGCAGGGTGCTGTTCGCATCAAAGGTGTAATTCTCCCAGTACTCGGCACCACGAGCCTTGCCTCCTGGGAGGAGATCTTCGGGTGTTGGTCTGAAGAGTCGAGCCAATGAATTGTCAGGATGATCAGGGAACCTGAGGCGACGTGCGTCGTGCGTCAGGTGCAATCGCTGCGACGATGGATGTATATAGAATAAGTAGAATGAAACGGATGGCCCAGGGTTGTTCCACATCTATGTTTGTTGGACAGAATGTAGCTGATGAGAGGTCTAGAGAGGCACTTCAACGTCTCTGAGTGCTCAGCTGCGTCTCTGATGCATTCGTGCTGTTGGGCGACCCCAATCGAGCAGCCACCGGCGCCAATACAGTAAGGGCCTAGAGGGACCACGTGAGGTGTGAGATTTGCCCTCAATGACCCAAGTGCATGGGGATTTGTGTCCTGTAATTTCTTTGACAACATCTCCTCAAATATTGCAACCTTGGAATTCTAAAACCAATCATTCAACAACGTGCAAGCTTGCAGCTTGGTGCTTATGTGTCAACACAAGCCTGGAGTCGAACACAATGGATCTCTTGCCCAGTAGCTCTCTGAGTCCGAGAAATCTCAACGATCGATCGATTGTTTGACACTTTGACGCCACATTCATGGACCGCGGAATCAAGTTCAATTGGTCAAAATATGTTATGACCATTTAT